GTTTTGAAAATTTTCTGTCTCTCACAATGCACTGATTAGTGCCTGCATCTTCTCTAGGAGAAATTATGAACATGATTCTAAGTGATTATTGCATTTGGAATCAGATGTAAGTAATTCCTGATTCACAATAATTTTGAATGGAAAAATGAATGATGTAGGCGAAATTTCTGAAATTTCTGTTTTCAGGACTATAGTTTAAGGGGAACTCCATTATTGCTACAACATGTCAAACAAATATAAATTTATGGCTGCAGATATTTCAAAATCTAATTTCTTATAATGTAACTCCCCTCCTTGGTCATGAATAGTTGCTTTCTTCATTTGTTGGAATTAGAATTGAAAGAGAGAAATTATTCTCCCACAGGGATTTGTACCTGGGACCATACAAACTTGAAGCCTTCAGAAAAATTATGTTCCTCCATGTGAATAAGGAGAATATCAGAGAATACCAATTTGTGCTTTATTCATAAGACAACATATGTCCTTCTTTGCCTGCGATGTTCCCTGTTTACTTCATCTTTCCAGTACAATTACTGATTGTGTCTTATCTTAAAATGCTTGATTTAGAAGTTAAACTCTGTGGTCACTCTAATCATTCAAGACTCTTTCATGGCAAATAAGAGAAGCTCAACTTGAACACCAGTGATCTAGGTATACTGTGTGTTAAATCATGCAAGCCAAGATGCTCAACTTTCAAGTACTTGGAAATAGGGAAGGGGCAGAGCTTACCTCCATGAGGCAGCAAGTGCCTTTGAACTATGAAAGTACCTGTCTTTCATCTTTGGTAAGGGGGGACTACTTTCTGAAACTGTGTCTTCCACATGTCGTGCTATATATGAACTTGCTGTTACTGATGATATTCAGAGCAGGTAACCCTAACAAATTGATCACAGATATGATTGCTACAAAGGCTCTGCTGTGTCATCTTCTGGCCATGTATTTTATGAGTATACAGGTTATGCAATACTCATATTTAAATGTTGATGAGAGACTATGACTGTCACTGGAATTTAATACTTATAATTCATACACTCATGCTCTGTATCAACTAAAGTCAACTTTTAAGAGGAAAGAAATGAAACCAGTGGACAAAAGAGTAGTAGAGCAATGAAAAGATACTTCAGGTTCCCTTTCCCCTCCAATTCCTGTTCAGGTTACTCCTGTATATTTCCTCAAAATCATAATAAATTTATGCTTAAGTTCTTCCCAAAAGCTTTCTGTAATTTTTAGTCCTCAAAGTCTAAACTCAAGTCATAGTCTAAACTCAAAGTTAGTTGATTCAATTTTCATCTGTGATAAGATCAGTAAATGGAGTTGATTTATGTTTTACTAGAAGAATATTGCTTTCTTAGTACATACCCTGAGTTATGCAGGGTTCAGGATATGTAGTAGGCAAGGCAGGCATTCATCTGTCTCTGAAGACATCAAACTAATAATTACAGATGTGAGATCCTACCATTCTGTTGCAAAAGATTTATCAAATAACTTACTACAATGTTCAAAACCTTGTTTGGGCATCTTGGGTATTTACCTGCTTTGGGCTAATGTCCATGAAGTCCCAGAAATGAAAATTCTCTGCCATTCTAAAATAGCAAACTTGGAAACATATGAAAGGTTATGTACTGACACAGCCTTTGCATGTATGAGTACAGTATAGATGTGTGTGTGTATTTGTACATGTTGTAAATTAATTTATTGCTAGACAAGAGTGATTACTTTTTAAAAAATTGCTCTATATTTTTATTTACCTTCACCCTGCAATGGACATGTCACTGAACAACATTGATGGGTGAACTCAGATAGAAAACACAATTTTACTATTTGCTAAACCTCTTTGGAGAAAGTACTTTTTTCTCAAAAATTGGGGAAAAATTTCTCCAAAACCAGAAAGCAAGTTGGGAGTTTATTCACAGGTAAGAGAATCACTGGGAAAAATTTCTTAGGCCCCATGGGTAAAACAAATAAGGAAATAGATTGTTTTCAGTGTTCCTTTCTTAAGAGAACAAATTATCCTGTTTTTATGCTTATTATCTTCATTGATTATAATTCTACTGTGAAACTCAAGTATAGAACAGTCTAGGGATTTTCATTATCGTGTGCTCACTGTCCACAGATGAAGCAGAGGAGAATTGAAGTTAGGCCACCACCTTGTAGGTCCTGCAGGGATTTTGTGAGAACATTTTGGTCTTAGGTTAGGAATTCTAAGAATGCTGATGGAAAGACTTTCAAGTTTACCAAGCAGTTAGGCCAGCAGACATTTTATAACTGTAGACTAGCCTTTAGGGCTTTAAGTAGGCAATACTGTGAGATACATGACCCCAGAAATCCTGAAACTAAACTCAGCTCTCTCTCCTAGGCTCTGTTAAGATAGAATCCCTAATGGATTTATCCTATGTCCTTTCTACTTGAAGCTGTCCTCAGAGATGTGAGGTCAGAAGTAAGATGGCAAGTCTTTGCTAATAATATTGAAAATGACATTGTGAGTTTACTAGGACTGGACATTGTTCCAAGACTGTTCATTGAATTTTTATAAACATACGAGGCACATATGAGGTACTACAATTAGACCCATTTATGGATAAAGAAACTAAAGAAAGTTCAAATAACCTGCCTAAGCTCATAATCATAAAGTAGCAGAGCTAGGATTTGAAATCAGACCCACTGGCTGCAAAATTTATGATTTGTATAATTTTATCCTGCCTTTCCTTAGTGGTAGTAGGCTCATAGCCGCTACAATAGGTACTCAATAAACATCTATTGACTAATTAATTGATCATTGGGCTTGTGAGGAGCTCTTCTTGACTTGCAAAAGGCTAGCACTAAAATCTGTAGTCGGACGTTACATGTACAGAAGGCAGGCCTTGTACTCTTCCCTCCCTCTTACAGCTATTGGAGATGCCAATGTGGTGATCTTGGGAAATGTTCTTACTATCAGAACTAATGTTTTTCTTTTGGGCCATATACCTCTTTGAGAATCACATAAAAGATAAGAATACTCTTCACATAAAAATGCTCACCCACAGACTTTTTTGCATAATTTCCAGGACTGAAAAATCTCTAGAACCTTCCAAGAATATTTTTGTTATTGTATCTGAAGTTTGAATGTTCATACATCTTATGTTCAAGCAATTTATATGAGTGGTTGATTGAGAAAAAATTATATTCATATTTTACTGAGGTATTTGTTTTTGTTTATCTCTTCCAAAGGAAAGCTGTGTGCCACAGTGTTACAGTTGGCTGTGGTCACTAACTGGCTGCTTGGTAACGGCACAGTTTGTGCATTCCATGGAGGAGCTCCAGAATGCAGAGAGCATAGCTGGAGAGCGGATGTATGCACCCCAGGTTTCTGACATGAACATTACTGATGATTCTGCTGAAAGACCTCATTATTGTCATGGCAGATACTGGAAGATAAAAGGGACCATTTTCAGAACAGAGGGCTATCTGTTGGTGCTAATTGAATATTTTTGATTATGGTATTAAGTTGGTCAGAGTATTGTAGCATGTCTTTTTGGCAGGAGTTCCTTTAGGCAGCTTCTCTTAATACATGAACTGAGTAGCACATCCTCACACACTTATAAGCCTCCTTTATCTGAATTAATGGTGAATGACAGATGTAAGCTGTATCCTTTTTTTGAGGACATCACATTCTTTTTTGGCTTAAGGCATATAGGAAAATGACATGACTTTTACTATCTTTTTCACATTTAAAATTTTCTGGCAAAGAATATAATGTAAATGATTGTGAAATCCTTCCATGAGACTGTAGAAGCATAAACATGATTTACTGCTTCAGTTCTTAGCTGGAGACTCGAAGTATTTGACAACTTTGGATAGTAGGCAGTTTCATCCTTCTCTGTGAAACCACACTACATTTTCATGGGCATAGGTGGAAAGGAGGAGGTAAATTAATGGAGTCACAAAGACCCACATTCAGTTCCAGGTCTACCATTAACAACCTGTGTGATCTTCAACAGGCAATTACCTCACTGAGCTTCATCTGTAAGAGAGAAGTGTTGAGCTGTAAGGTCCTTGAGCTCTGAAACACTACTATTTTAGGAAAAGACAAGATTCCTTCCTCCCTCCCTTCCTTCTTCCTTCCCTTCCTTCCTTCCCTCTTTCTTTCTTATATTTCTTTCTGTCTCTGTCTGTTCCTTCCTTCCTTCCTTTTTCTTCTTTTTTGTGAGTTTCTCCAGAGTACTTGGAATCTTACAGCTGAACTACTAGATACGTGTTCCACTAGTGAGATTGTGGGACTTCCAAAGGTATCACAAACTCCTCGATACAAAGTAGGGATTGTTTCTCCGAGAAATGAAGTCAATTTTTAACATTTATTCTGAATTTCCCACGTTTTATTTTCGGTATCAAGAAAAGAGCATTCTTGATATATTGACAGAAATTCAGGAAGTGAATCAAACCTGTGTCATTGAGTGAGTCTTCTTCCCTAAATTCAGTCTAATTCCTTATTTTATTTTTTCTAACAATTTTTATTAATTTCTTTCATCTGGGAAGTCCTGAGTACACTTGAGCCTGTTTATTGTAACATGGTTTAAGAGAGAAGACCGTGTTTTGCTGAAATAATTACTCATCATTTAAACCATTACATTTCCATCAGCTTAATTTTCTCAAATATCCTGCATTATGATGTGAAGGCATTATAAGAAGCTAGCATGGAACAATTAACAAAGAACATGAAGGATAAAATAAAATAAATACACTTTTTCTATATTTATGCTTTTGAAAGATGGAAGTAGGGTACACACTATATTCTGATGCTTACATATGTAGCCTGAGGGGAAAATATATGATATAAGTGGAATATTTGCATTACGTTAGATATTGGTGCCTTGGTTCAAAAACAAATTATAAGCTTGTCAAAAAGTTTTAATATAGTGAAGGAAATTCATTTGAAAAACTGTATTTCAAAATGTTGGAAAGATACATTTTTTTTCTTCTTGCAGGTTGGTGGTGATCTTGTGGATCCTTTCCTCTTAAGAACTGGGGTATCTTTCACATTCTTGTTTCCTCTAGTGGTCGGTTTATGAAGTCTTGAATAGCCTCATGCAAAGGAAGCCATTTTTTAATAGATGTATTCAGAGCTGTAATCCAGCTGCAGGAAAATAAAAAATAAAACAAGTCATACTGTTAGATGCTGGGGAAGTGAAATGTTACAAAATTCTTTAATTTGTTTTCCAGTAGTTTCTTTGGTTAGTTATCTTGCAATTAATAAGATAAACCATGCTCTTTAGATTTGAGGTTGAATAAGAAAGTAAAATACCAAATGTGATGTATGTGGTGGTAGCAATAAAGTATGCTTATGTAAGTAGGATCAGAAGAGAATATGACATTTGATATTATGATTAATGGATCTATAAGGCTTTTAAAAAACTGTTATGAGTATTTTGTTTCTATTTGGCTTTAAAGTTTAGTTGATCAAACTTAACAGGAACCAAATATTGCCGTATGGGCAAAACATTTCTTTGTAAAAGTCTAGAAACCACAATAAACTCTCCAGTTAAGATTCTTTTCTTTCTCCTTCTTTTCATTTTCTTGGAAAATGTTTTATGAAACATATTCATATAACATTTATTCCAAAGGTAATATTATTTTAAAAACCAGCACCAACAATGACCAGAAAGATTAACCAATAATATTTCTACCAGGTTGTTTCAGAAATACTAATAGGTTAATATGCTTTATGATTCTCTGAGCAGGGAATATAATTTATATCACTTCCTAGATACACTTTAAGGTAAGTAGGGTACCTTGTGGCTACAGAGTTCCATGCATATTTTGACCCTCTGATGTCACGCTTTGAAATATTTCTCCAATAACTCTAATGTTTCTTACACATTATGAATTTAGCAGTGAGATCCAACTATTTAACCTCCTCTCACAGAGAAGCCAGTGGATTTTATCAGAGGTGAGTTAACTCTACTTCATTGCTCCTTTCTATGATGTGCTAGCTGGAGCTTCACCTTCAAGGGGACCTTCCTTATTTGTTACCTAGGTTTTCCAGCACATGCCCTGGAAGAAAATCCTGCAAAATACTGAAACATTTTGTACTCAATATCATCCTGCTCCAGTACATCCTTACAAATGAGGGACACAGGCAAAATTTACACAATGAGAGAAAGCCTAAGAGATCTCTAATTCCTTCCCAAATGGCCATTTTGTACCCCTGAAATCCCACTCTTGGAGTTTTATTTCTTTGGGTTAAACCAGTGTATTTACTGCTTGCAAATGTCCCTGGGAACATTTCATCTGCTTTACTAAGCTAGGGGGAATTTATTCATTAAATCATTTTTTTAAAAACCAGACAGTTGGAATAAGAAGTCTTGGTGAGGTGGGAGGTAGCTATGGAGCAGATAAAAGATAAGGATGGGAGGGCACTTGGATGGCTTGAGGATTGGAGTAAGTTTGGGGAGGGGTGGCAGAGAATGCTCTTGGTAACTCCTGCCTCAGTTTTCCCCTGTTAACTTAACTGTTCTTCTTTTCCATTTGAGCCACATGTTCATTTGAGCATGGATACTGACTATAGTACAAATTAGATAAGTTTTGTGTTCTTTAATGGCTTATAATAAAAGAAAACCAATCAAATGTAGATGGACATATCAACACTAGTTATGTGAAAAGAGGTAAAAAAAAATCTATGATCTATCTAATTAATATATATTAATAAAAGATAAGACAAGTTTATGGATTAATAAATTATAATATTTGCTGGTGAGTCAGTCACCTAATGCCTTGGGAAGAATTGAGGACTACTTTTCCATTTGAAAACAAAACAAAACAAAAGCACTTCTAGAAGTTATCTAAGGAGGACTTGATAAAAGAAAATCCAGAGATATTAACTATGGAGACTGCAAAGAAAGGGAAGGATTTAACTAAAGATGTGCAGTTAGATAATTAGGGTTTGCCAAGAAGGCCTTATCAAGACTGATAAAGGAAAAGAAATAGGAAGACCTTGGCTTACCGCTGGTTTTCTGTTTTATTTTCTGCACAGAAATAGAAAGTCTTGAACTCTTCTGATGGAGGTTTGAGTTCAATTACTGATTGTTTGAAGCTATGAGTCTGTTCACTTACTCTATATCCTTGAAGATATAGGCCACCTATAGGGAGTGAAAGAAAAAAGAAAAGCAAGTAAGAATAAGGAAAATGTAAGGAGGAGGAAAGGTGTCTAAATAGTGCCAAGAAATTTTGAATGTGAATGAACCCCTAGCCCAGCTGTCTCACCTTACAGGTGAAAAAACTGAGACTTCAAGGAGTATACAGTTTTAGGTCACACACAAATTAATGATTAGTAGCAAGGGTGATAATAGAATTTGAATTTCCTGGCTTTCATTTGTACAATCTTTTTACTTACATGGTCGGTATTTAGCTTTGTACATCTGTGTGCACAAACTAGCTTCTTTACTAGGAGACATTTTAAAATAAAATTTTCAGTATAAGAGAGTGACACCTGCAATGTCATGTTAGAAGAAAATTAAATAGTATTTTCTGGGGAAGAATCATTAAAGCATCCTTTCTGAAGAATAATGAAGATGGCAGGCAGTTTCCACAACAAAAACACATTCTTACCTTCTTTTTGAATATGATACACACTTAAAATACAGACCTATAGGGTGATATGAAAGAGTGAACTTGAATTAGCAATGAGAAAAGATTGGTTATTATTGAACATAACTTCTTTCTTGTGGCCCTCTGAATCCATGTTAGTAGTTATGATGTGTTTGCTTGGCCTGAATTTTTGTTTCCATTTTTAGGATTGGGGAGGATCTCAGTCTAGCAGAAGACTCGGAAAGATGGAAACTCTTGTGTTTTTTCTGGCATCTTGATGCTCCAAGGTAGCCTGACTCTTGTGCTGATACTTCAGGCAGTATTAGTAGTAGTGATGCTAAGATGTTTATAGATTTCTTGCCCCTGTTCACTCTTGTTCTCATTCCCTAACTTTATCTAGGAACCATTCTAGTGAACTACACTAGCAGAGAAAAAAATTACCACTCGGATTTTTTGCCATTCTCCCTGATAGTTATTCTGTACCAATGTGTTAATAAGGGACTACAAAGAAAATGTGGTCCTTTTGAATATGGCTGTCTTTGTTTTCCTATTGGTTACACTCAGCAACAATGTACAGTGTCAGGGAGATGCAAGTTTTCTTTTAAAAGAGAAAGGATGGTTTTGTACATTAAAAATTAGAGAACAACTTGCTAATTTTATGGAGGGGTTAGATGCAATATTAAATTCCTTTCTTATTTTCATTTAAAGAGTCCATTTTAGAACTAACATCTGAGAAAGCATTCATCTTAGAAATGGACTGATTTTTCCCCTTATTAGTCCTCAGTAATATGCTGTTTATCAAAACCAGAGGGCAATTTCTTTCCTTGAGATAGATGGGGAAACAGATTTGTAAAGCAACCTTATTCAAATATAATTTACATACATAAATTTTGAAGTATACAGTTCAATGATTTTAGTTTATTTTATAGTTACTTAATAATAATCTTAATCTTGTTTTAGAATATTTTCATGAACTCAGAAGAAACCCCATACCCATTAACAGTCTCCCAATAAATCTGATGTGTACTGCAGTTCTAGGCAATCTTTACTTGCTTTCTGTCTCTATAGATTTGTTTTTTCTGCAGCATTTAATATAAGTAAAATTATACAGAGTATGGTCTTTTGTGACTGGCTTCTTTCACTTAGTATAATGTTTTAAAGGTTCATCCATGTTGTACCATCTATTAATACCTCATTTGTTTTTATTGTAGGATGATATTCCACTGTATGGATATACCATATTTTATGTATCTATTCATTAATTGAACATTTACATTTTCTTCAATTTAGCTATTATGAAAATTGCTGTTATGAACATCCATACATAAGTTTTCATCTACATGCAGGCTTTTATTTTGTTGAGTATATTCTAGAAGTAGAATAGGTAATGTGCGAGGTGTTTCAGGACAACAGGACACCTAAAGATGTATCAGGGTACTTTGCTAAGTCTCTGCTCCAAATGATAGTACACAGCATTTGCATGTTGCTGCATTGGTTTGTGGCTGCTTCCTGCTTGTGAGACTTCCTTATTTATGTCTTAGCAAACATGAATACCTTCCTACCAATTTTGAGAATGGATAGATTTCATCTAAAAAAGTCTTCTATAAAAAGAAAGTTTTCCAGCCCTTTTTCTAAACAGTTGTAGGATATTGATGGTAAAGACATCCAATTATAATCTCAGTACATCATTTGAGGTGACTTTACCAGGCTGGTCTTTCTGTTATGAGGTTGGAAGCAGTAATTAGTAAGCTGGCACAATGTTAGTTGCAAGAGATGTGTAAGCATTATGTGTCCTACTTGTTGCAATAAAGTAAAATATATCTTCCTGAGAAGTGTAGACAGACCTTGATGTGATTTATTCATGAACAACAGTTGATGGTGATGATTTGTTACTTCCAGCTTTTGCTGGAGAGAGATAAAAGGGGAAAAAAGTCATTAGATGTATGGAGAATGACCAGGACCTTCAAGTCTACATAAAGGCACTTGATTAAAGGGCTTCTGGAATACCCACAGTGGCTTCTTAATGTTAGCATGTGCATGAAGGCCAGCAATGTCTAATACTTCTTGTGATGTTGAGGAAAGCCTTCAGGGAACTGCTGAGGCTATTTCTCCAACTCCCACATTATACACTAGAGGTGTATTTGTCTAGCTGAAAGTAAAATGTGGGATTAGTGTCTAATATTGGTTTTATAGGAACACAGGGTTGTGCTGCTTCCCACATCTTCCTCTTTCTACTCATATTACTTTTGTCTTTCCCTGACTTCTCTTTTTTTGCCCATAGTATCCTATCAGCATTTCAGGTTACCATTAAAAAAATATGTCAGGCCAATAATACTACAGATACCTTCAGAATTAGGAAATATATGAAGTCTCCCAATATATGAAGTCCCTAATAAAGAACTTAAAGCAATAGACTAAAATAAAAATACATATGTTAGAAATGCAAATGATATGCTATAGTCAGAATTCCAGGTGTCTATCAAGTCTTGACCACGAGTCTCAGGATCAAAGCAATAACTTGCAAGCATGTTACAAAATATTTGAAAAGGAAGTAACAATCTTTATTTAATCTGTTTAAAATATTCCCAACATAAAATAAAATTGATCATATACAGAGACTAAATGTTTTATGTATCAATATTTTTCTAACTTTTTGGTTGTGATCCAAAGCTGTAATAAGTTCAGATCTCTATATGCTTTCATATTATTGACAAAAGTTTTGTGAGACAATGTGATGTATCATGATGGTTTATTCAATTAAATTCTATTCAGTTGTTTAAAAATATTGATCACAATCTACTGCACTGATTGTATGGCTCACTAATGGAAGCAAACCCTGCAGTTTGGGAAGCATTGTTGTAAATGGTAATCAAGACCTATTTCAAGGTTATGACCTTCACAGGGCAGGAGAACAAAAAAAACAGACCATTGTGAGATGTGCAAGGTCTAGGCTTGTACAGTACAAGTAAGGGAGAAACTGCAGATTAGAATAATTAAAAAGTCATTTACTTAGCACAACGTAGAAGAACTGAAAATGAATATTAGAACTGTGCATAATCTTTTTTCATTTTGATGGATCCCTGGCTATGATACAGGTTATGATTCAAGTTAAGGTATACAAGAAGACTGAGCTGGATTCTTAGAAGAAGGATGCAAATCTCATTTTAAAATTCAAATCTATGGGGAAAAAAGTATTTCAGAATATTTGTACAGTGGCCTCAAGCCTGAAGAAAGGCTAGCAACAAATCAACCTGAGGGGAGCTTCCCTCTGGAATCAGTAGCAGTCAGAGTGATAGGAGGAGGAAGTGGTGATGAAGGCAATCTTTTTATTCAAGGAAGAGAAGATTCACATAGAAACATCAACAACAACAACAAACACAAAACTTTATTTTAGGACATCGCCTGCCTATAAATTTTCTGTTGGATTTTCAGTAAGAAAAACCTTTCTTTTAATCCATAGTTGAGATGCTTTTAAATAGGAATATCCAAGAAGGAAGTCTGAGAAAGGATGTCTGGGTTAAGTATTTCCATAGTTGAGATGCTTTTAAATAGGAATATCCAAGAAGGAAGTCTGAGAAAGGATGTCTGGGTTAAGTATTTCTATTAATTACAATTACATATTTTCAAGAGCAGAATTTTAAAAGAGATAGAAATTAGGTAATTTCTTATAGCTCAAAGGAGTGTGATATAGCAGAAAGGCCATGCATATACAGACTTCTAGTTTTGCTTTTGAGTTAGCTGTACAATCTTCTAATCTTTCTGCATCATCTGGATGATGGTCATTTATTCATGTATTCATTTATTCCTACATTTTATAACCATAACATTGAGTTATTTCTGAAGCATATGATTCCTTAGAAAAGATGTTGATGACCACTGAGAGATAAAATATATGGTGATAATTGTCACAGGATAGGGCTGTTTGTTTATCTAGACTATCTGGAATTGCATTAAGACAGAGATAGAGGGCATTTAAATGGACATTTGAAGGATACTTTGTACTGGGTGATCAGTAGGAATGGAAGATGTCAGGGAAACAAAGTAATACAAGCAAAAATTGTCCAAAAGGTGGCTGTGCTAATGAAATAGATTATGAGCTTGAGTGCTTTAACACAAGGAGTGGAAGATACATCCAGATACAGGAGTTGTAGAACAAAGTTCATACAGTTCAAAGGTCATAGAGTACTTAGAGGGCAACCATAGAAGGTTCTGGAAAGAGGTGTGCAACGATAAGAGCTGAGAATAAACAAAACTTCTATTTTTTCTTACTTAATCAATCTTTTCTTTTTGTCTACGTAACACGGGTTACCTTGATTTAAATTCTACATGCACCGTTTTCTATCCAGGAGTCAATTATTTAACATCACAAAGCACCCAGCTAAAAAGGATGGGAATATTGAGAAACATCATTTCTGAGTTAGGTTAGGCCATGGTCCCTATATTAGACCAAAAAATCCGTATGTTCTCCTCATCATTGACATTAGAACAAGGGCAACCACAACAAGGGGATTGGACTGAGTTGAGGCACACATGATAAAAGCAAGGAAGCACACAAGGGAGCTATGAGGATACGGTAAGACACCTAACAACACTTGAGCTAGCATTTGTTGGCCACTTAACGCAGAGAAACTATAAGCAGATACCTTAAAAGCAACTGAAGGCCGAATAGGAAGGGACAGGAAGCTAGAGAAAAGGTTAGATGCAAACCAAGAATTAACCTAGAAGGTAACACACAATGCACAGGAAAGTTAATGTGAGTCAAACTCCCTAGTATAGCTATCCCTTATATCAACCATGCAAAAACCCTTGCACCTTCCTATTAGCTTATAGGCTTTCTCTACAACAGAAATTAGAAATAAGGGCAATTAGCTTTCTGCACTAACAGGGGTCATTGGAACGAGCGGCGAGGTACAGGGAGGGGCCCGGGAACGAGCCGGCAGGAGCACAACACACGACCAGAGTGAGATGGGTAGGGTGAGGCAAGACGCGACGTGGACGGGCAGACGGGAGAGCGAAAGAAATGAGCCCACACCAGCCTTGTAATGCACAATATGATATATAAAACAATAAAAACAAAATACGGTGCGAAGACAGGACCGGCAGCACACACACACACAAACCCAAAGCACCAGCTTTCAAACCTATAAGTGAAATAACCTATTTGGGGTTTCCTTTTTTTGGCCATACTAGTATTTGAATTTAGGGCCTTGTATTTGCTAGGCAGGTAGTCTACCACTTGAACCCTAGTTCCAGCCCTTTTTGTTTCAGGTAGTTTTTGAATAGGGTATCACCATTTATGTCAGGCTGTCTTGTACTGAAATTCTCTTATTTATGCTTCCCCTGTAGCTGAAATGCCCAGCTATGGGGATTTACTGGTTGAGACAGGGCCCTGGGAGTTTTTTGCCCATGCTGTCCCAGAACCACAAGCCTCCAGATTTCTGCCTCCCAAATAGCTAGAATGACAGGTGTGAGTCACTGTACCTGGCTGTATTCTTTTAGAAATGAAATGCAAGTATAAGCAAAAACACCTAACAGAGTTATCAGTACAAGAGCTGCCCCACAAATGACAATTGCTGCTTTGCCATTGTTATTTTCAGGCTCTTTAATATTAGTAGTCTGCAGCTCTCTAACTAGGATTTTTTTTTTTTAAATCTAAGTAGAACCTCCTTGACCTTTAGGAATAAGGGAAACCACCTAATCATTATTATTTTTAAACTCTGGGAACCAGAAACAGTCTCTGTGCCCCAAAGGTTTGGTAGCACTTTATTAACATTTCAGAATTTGTGAATTCAATCAAGCATTTCCTTTCTATCTATGAAACAGTAGCTTAATTGATCTGGTAATTAAGAGTTCAGAATTTCATAATGCTATTTTATAATGAGTCTCAATGACTAGTTTGGAGATGAAATTGTTTTGTTTACCTGATTCTTATGGTATCAGCTGCTTAAATCTGTGGAATTGGATTGCATAGGAACAGGCAGTTTTGTAAGTGTTTATAGGTGATGTCTATCTTTTCATAGTGGTCTGATAATCTGAGTTATGTTTTAAAATGAGGGTGTGATTAAGTAGAGGAGAATCATTGCACTGTTTATCCTGAGTGATGAAAAATGGGCCATGGAGTGATACTAGCTTTAAACCTCTTGTAGATTTCCAAGAAAATAAAAATTGTCACCAGATGTTTCCTTCCCATTTGGCATGTCTACCTAGCTTAATTAAACTTGAGCATTAATGCTAAAAATAGAAATTGAATGACTTGGATTCCAGAATAATTATTGCTAATTACTGCAGGATTACTCATATGGCAAAAAATTTGACTGCAAATAAGACATCAATAAGTGGTTCAAAATCATAAGAAAGCTAATCTGTTGTGGAATTAAGGTAAAATTATTATTTTGTTAAATTATTTACATGAGAATTCTATATGTATAGCTTTTAAATAGTATATTAAAAGTGTGTGCAATAAATATATGCAATGAAATCTATGATGAAAATATAATACATATGAGAGCTTTTTATACAGAGGCCAATATGCATAGAGCTAAAGTTATTTCAATAACAATGACTCAGTTGATCTTCACAAAAGTCCTATAAAATATATGCTGCTATTCCATTTTATAAATGAGGGAAGTAAGCTTTAGGAAGTTAAGCCCATGGAAAACAGATAGCAAAAGGCCTGGTTAAGGCTTAATAAAGCTAAGGTGGCATTACTATTATTATTGTATTTATTATTTCAAGTGAAAGCTGATTTCTTACCTGAGGCCTGAGTGGAGCGAATGCTGGCATAGAAATACAAGCAGCCATCCTTGAGAATGCAATAGTGTTGGACCCACATGTCTATGTTTCTGTCCAGCTGGTGCAGAAGGCCCAGACACTCTGGATTTTTGATAGCCAGAGGTGGGAGGCTGCTGTTGTGCAGTGTAACATCTTCCCAGACATGGTTCTGTAAGTGTAGCATAAAGGGATCATCAGAGTGATCATTCTTCACCAAACACCTTTGACTCCCAGAGCCAGTGACATCAATACCAAGTCTGTTTGACCTTAGTAAGGCCACTATTCTAAATGGTTCTATTGCTCAAATAATCTCACTACTTGAGTAACTATCCAAAAAACCCAAATTTATCCACTGCCCATACAGAACTCTTCTCCCTTTTGAAGTCCATAGACATCCCTTCTCTTTGCTGCCTATTGTAGTCTGAAGAAATCAAAAGAACATCAGCCAAAGAATAGGACACTGGGTAGAGAAAGAAAATGGAAATAGGCAGTTAAACAGAGACTATTTTTAATGCCCTTGTTTATAAGTGCTGGGCTGATCTACTCACTCACCGTAAGGATTGTCTTCCTAGGGGCTGTTCCTGGTATGTCCACCGTGACTAATAGCAGCCCCTGGTTCATGCTTTTCTTTATCTGGAACTCCCATTTGTGCAAAGGAAGAAGTTAAATGCTCCAGGCCAGCTCAAGCCTTAGGCTCTCATGGTCAGTGATGTGGAAGACTGATGATAAATGGAGATCCTCTACTCTGGAGGGCAGCCCTCAGTCCATAAGCCTGGGAACAGGCTTGTTCTGAGAACTCCGACCTGAGGCTGGGGACACTGTGCTTTATCTCTTCAATAGAACACTTTGCTTGGGCTTGCCAGTTTCTCTTCTTTGTTTGGTTTTATTTTTGCCCTTTAGTCTTAACAAGGCAGTGCAAAAAAAAAATTCAGAATGCAGAGCTTGCTGTATTCTTTTCTGTGAAGTGGGAGCCTGCTGGGAGGTTTGGTGTTCATTTGTTCACATTGGGCAGACACTCTGAGTGCATTAGCAGAACAGATACCTCTCAAAAATATCCAAGCTCATTAGAATGATGCATTGGTAAAATAGATGAGTGTATCGAGTGTTGTGTTCCAGGTAAAATGAAACACAAGTCCTGTGATGATGCTTGAGATTGTTTTGAAAGAACAGTTACAAGGCAAGATACATCCAAGCTCAAACAATTTGAATTTTCCCTAATGTATGAGAACCAGAACATGCATGGAAGATTTGCTTTTATACCATTTTGTGAGGGAAAAGCATATTTAAAGGAAATCTAATAGCCACATTAGAAATAATATCAATAGCATAAAAATGAAGTAATTAGGTATTAAAGCATTTTTCCCCCAAAATGTTAGTGCATAAGCTCAGAGAGAGAGCTTTTAATGTCTTTGGGAATAAAGTGATGGCTTATCTGCTGACCTTATGAAGTCATTCAACAGTTTGTAGGTAAAATCTAAATTTAAAAAAACTATGTTGCTTCCAAGTTGGGAATCACGAATGGTCAGGAACAGTAAAAGTTGACCTAGTATGTCTATAGAACAAGTAGATGAACATAAAGCACTCTTTATCTGAATATATAACACTCATTTTCTAATAAGCTGCTCGGTCAACAGCAGCACCAGTCCAGGATATCATTGAGATCTTTTAAATTTTTTTAAAAAATTATTCTTTTAAACATTTTTATTAACATATATTAATTGTACAGGGGTATTCATCTTGACATTTCCATATATGCTTGCAATGTACCCTGGTTAGGTTTGCCCCTACCATCTATCTCCCTCATACCCCTTCCCCTACCTAAAATAATTACAATAGATTTCATTGTTCCATATTTCTCATAAGAATATAAAGTACATCAACCATATTCACCCTCTTTTATCCCTTCCATTCACCCCCTTCACACTAATAGGTTCCTAACAGGACCTATTTTATACTGAGATCTTATACTTGGGAGTGCAAAGAAAACAGCATCATTGGTTTATCATGTTGGGGAGCTACTGGATTGCTTTGTGTGAAACAGAAAATTCCACCTCAGTTTGTGCCTTTCTATTAAGTCTTACTGGGTGGGATGTCATAAAAACCCCTGAAAATAAAAGAATAGCAGGAATGCAAGCTTACTCATTGGACCTGAGCAAAACCTCTGTTGACTTATAATTCTTTCCTCCAACCTCAGAATAGATCTAGGATATGCCAAGGGGACGGTATGACATCCAATTTATTTCTTCCTCCTCTGAAAAGAAACATAAAACGAAGGCAGAGATAAGCATTAAGGAGGCCTTACCTGGTTGATAGGATGTGCTGCTTTGTCCATTGCCTCAAGCCACCTGAAAGACAGTAAAATGAGAGGAGCTATCTTTGGGGTAGTAGATAAATGTCACTCTGCGGGGCTTGTTCTTGCTGAACCCATCATTCAGATAGAACATTCTGAATGGGCTAATGAGGTTCAGGTATATTTCATTGCCCTGAGTTCTTGGGTGAAATGCAACATATTCTTGCAAAATTGAGGTTAGCATGGGCAAAACCTGACTCCCACCAGGAATATCTAAAACAAGTTTTTCTTATCCCTGACCTATACTAAAGTTTAATTAGTGCCTGAGGAAAAAAAATTCACCCACTCTTTATTTTACCAAGGTTTGGAATTTATTAACACCAGCAGGGCTGATAACAATTGATATATTAACTATAAAGCCTTGGTTATTAAAATATGGAAAGACTGGTAATTGACCACTGCCCTGAGTCCTTTCTGTAAGTGTTTCTGGAACACAGTGGCCATCTTTAGTGTATCATTAGGGTCTGTTCTTGAGAACTGAATTTTCTTAGTCTTGTCTTTTTAGCTAGGCCTCAGCATAGCCACCCCACCCCATCTTGCCAGTCTTTTTAAGTTTCCTTATAAACTCTAACTTCCAATCAAACCCTATTGCTTGCTGTTCTCCCCAAAGCTTGATTTATTCCCTCGACTTTCCTATGTGCAATTTCTTTTTTTGTATGCTTATCTAATCCTATACCACACCCTTCATAAAGAATTCCCTCATTTTTATATCACAAGCCCTCTCCCCTGTTCTTAATTCCTATACCACTTTATCTCCTATAACATGTCTCAACTTTTATTTTGTATTTAAAATATTGTGAGGAATGCTCTGCCTTCTTGGTTCAGAGGCTTTTTGTTTTGAAGGCAAGGATTGGCTCTTCATCATACTAATAATTAATGGAGACATTGAAACAGTGTCTTGGGTATGTTAGGTTTCCAATAAATATTTTTTGAATGCATTGAACTACAATCAAGTTACTATTATCACATATCCCTGTGTATCCTTAAAGTAATATTTATTTCAATACCTAATGCTACATAAATAGGAATAGGATATTGTTTGCCTTTAGAGTTTACAGATCTAGTGTTCCTTTTAAAATTAGATGTGAGTCCAAATTCTTTTAAAGAGGTATGATTGTTGACCCACTACTGTTTTGTTACTGTTTATCCTCCACTCTATCCTTATCTCTCATTCCAACTTAGCAGTCCTTTCACTACAGTTTTCAGTTGATTCACTGGCCTTGCCAGTGATCCCATTCCCTCAGGGAAGACACATTGAGTAATGACTATGGAGGCTACTGGTCAGAACTGGTAAGCTTCCTTCTTAGAATATGTACACATTTCTCCCTGTATTTGGGTTATAAATGAATGGATTCTTTTCTCTCAAAGCTACCTTATTTTGTTTATTCACTCAGTTAACTCATCTCATTATAGTGTATTAAATTGCAATCCTGCTACATTCTTTTCTATACATAAGTCTGTCCATATATTTAACTTAAACATATGCATATAAACCTGACAATTTTGGGTAATGCTGGATGTAAACTGTAGCAGTAATGAGTTTTTTTTTAAAGAAAATATAGAGATTGAAAGTAAGAGGACTAGTAGAATATACTCACGTTCTTTAGAAATTCACTTAGAATAAAAATAAAACTGAAGGAATAGTGAAGACCCAGCCTTCTTGTACTTGAGGAAAAAACCAATTTATGTTCCCTTTCTGACTTCTAATTCAAGGAATCTATATGGCCGCCCCTGGAGAAACATTCTCTACAGAAAGTGAAACTAGCAAGGTAAATGTTAGTGAATTACCTTTTCATTTCTTGGTTTGAGGTTGCACACAGGCAAAAAAATCTATTTCCAGACTGAGGCACACAGTTAAACACAAAGGGTTTTCCCAAGCCGGTATCAATGCCAACTTCTGCACCTTCTAATTTTATTGCCTCCAGAGGTGGACATTTTCCTTCATCCTGTAATTGATAAGGAAGATGCTCATTATTGGCACTGTAACTAAGCAGATAAGGGAGAAAGTCAAGGAGGAAAGAACAAGTATAATTATTCCTTTCAACTCATTTGTGTATTTGGTTCTAAAATGAAAATAAAGCCCAAAAGAGTTTTTATAGATTATGTTCTCCTTGACATATTCCATGGAACACCAAATTTTCATCTGTGATATTTTTCCACATCAATTTTAAATAATTTCTATTAATATGTATTTCATTTATGTCAACTTGGGAAAGTATTAATTATTAATGCCATTTTCCATTATAAAAAGAATATAAAAATAAATTGGTATTACAAAATACACATGGTTAGTTATGAAATTGAGGCAGACTAGATGTTTGGGAAAGTTCTGGACTTTTATAAAAACCTCACAGCTTGATTTAGAGCACCTGTTACCCATCCCTTACCCATTCCCTCTGAGCCCAGAGAGCTCCATTTACTAACTTTGTTAAGTAAAAGTGGAAATTTCTATCCACATGGATTCAGGGTACCTGAGAATTAGCATAGGTGCATCATGAGTCCACCCTTGGCCCGAAGGCCATTGGAAACAGGGAGTGATGCAGATTTTCTCCCCACCTCCAAGTTAAGGATGATATAAAAATGACCTAAACTAAAAGTTCTTCCTTTTTTTTCCCCTGTATCTGGTGCCTCCATTCCACTTGGCAGAGACCCTGGCGGTAATCCCCTTCCCCCTTTCCTATGATAAAACTCCATTATTTTGCTCACTACATCCACGTGTTCTGCTTGGATTCTTCCTTGCCAGCACAAGGACCAAGATCTTCTGACCAGAATCATCAGTGATTTCAATAATCGTATCTCTAGATAGTGCCTACAATTGTTCTCCATGCTTACTGAGTTGCAAGCCCTCTTCCAAATTCTTTACATCTATTAATAAACTTATCTCCACAAATGCTCATGAGGTTCTTACTTTCATCATATCCATTTTATGTATTAGGAAACTATAACTTAAGAGACTGAAGAACATTTTCTTTAAAGTACTGTACTTAAACATACCATGTAAAACTGAATCATTTTATAAGTCAATATTTTATTATTTACTTTATAGCTATTTCTCAAAACATCCCATCCATTGTTCATCTTTTAAAAAACATCTGTACTGAGATATAATTTCCATACTATGAAGCCATTCATTATACATGTACAGTTCAATTATTTTTAGTAAATTCATAGAGTTTGGAAACCATCATTGTAATCTAGCCTTAGAATTTTTCCATTAGTCACAAAGTTTACTTTGCATCTACTTATAGTCATTTGCTACTGATTCCCCCATCACAGGCAACCAAAGAAATGTTTTGTGTACCACTTATCAGTACTTCATTGTTTTTAAGTTTAAATTAAATTCTATTATATAGATATATCCCATTTTGTTTATCCATACACAAAGTGATGGGCATTTTCCCCCAGTTTTGGGCTGTTTTAAATAATACTGCTGTGAATGTTTGTGTACATGTCTTTGACACATGCTATCATTTCCCCTTGGCAGATTACTAAGAGTGAAATTCCTGGGTCATATGATAAGTTTAATTTCAATTCTATAAGAAACTGACAAACTACTTTCCAAAGCGGTCATAACATTTACATTCCCAGCAGCATAGTATGAGTTTTCCAAATTCCCTACACCTTGTAGTAGCCATCCTCATGGGTGTATAGAGGTATCTTATTGTGGTTTTCATTTGCATTTTCTAATGACAGGTGATGGGGATCATCATGTAATGTGCTTATTAACCATTGAAATATCTTTGGCAAAATGTCCCTTTGGTGAAATTCTTTCAGCTATTTATTCTATGAGAAAAAATTTTCTGAGCAATCAAATAATAAATGAAAAGGGACATAAGTGAGAAAAAATAAACTTCGTACTGTTCATATAATTGGGTACCTAGTGAGGTCCTGTTGAGTAACAAGTTTTTACTTGTATATTGAATTTTTAATTCAAATATTTTTGATATTTGACACATTTGAATTTAAGTGTCTTTGTGCTTAGATCACAAATTGTGTGCACTTATGCATGCATGTATCTTTAAGAGGTATGTCTCTAGCTAATTTTGTCTCTTCTTAACTAATTTATGAACTCCTTCAAGACACTGTTGAAGATTATGGACCATCTTTCTCCTAAAATATACATATGTTTATGTGTGCAAGCACATGGACACATAGACAAAAGATATCTTGCAACTCATAGGTGAATGGATAGGATATTCCTCAATTAAAAGTAATGTATCATATTTTATGGCTCTTTTTTAATCTTTACAACTACATTATGAAGTAAAAAGCTAGTATTTACCCATTTTCTAGGAGAAGACGATGAGATTCTATGAAATGTACCAGTATTACATGGATAGAAACAGAGATAGAGCTTAAACTCTGATCCTCCAGCTCTGTCTTCCCACACTACATCTATCAAATATCTGGATTTTTGGATCACTGGGATTTGGGACATCGGCAGTTGACAGCCATGGTACTCAAATCCAAGGACTGAGTATCTCTTGCTTCCATCAGCATTCTTTGAGTAGATATAGAATTTTTACTTGTTTTAGCAACTATCAGAAAAACAGTACATCTTAACAATAAAAATTGTGTATGGCTGATAATGAGACATTAGAAACCAGAAGAATATATTTTCATTTGCTTTAATGAGGCTAAAAATTTTGCATGCCTATACAGAGTGGATAATTATTTATATATCTTTTCCTAGGAGCATTTTAAATGAAGAGAAAAGATAGGCCAATATAATAAAGCCTGGAGATTTTATTCTGTTGCTAAGTGACAGAAATGCTCATTTTCTAACAGCGATACCACTGGGTCTGCTTTTGGTAGACCCATTACACAGAAAAATGATATGTTGTTCTCAGTATCAGTGCTGTTAGGTCACGACTGCCAGTCTCCCAATCCTTTGCTTATAGGAGACTTCAAAAGAGCTCACTCAACATGGCACAGGACATACAACCAAGAATAATACCTGAACTCACTTATGAGGCTTTTTCCTCTCTGCTCAAGTTGCACATGTGTGAGAAGAATGAATGATGTCTGAATGGACTGGATTTTAAAACAAGGGTTACTATCTCTTACATGGACTCCATCATGGCCCAGATTGCACTTTTACCAATCTCAGCTGCAGACTCATTACCCCTGCTTGTGAGCTGGCTGTGGCCCTGGGAGCAGCTGCACCTAAACCTTGATCACGCAGACCATGCAGCAAGTGTGGGTGCCCTTGCGTCTGTGCTTACTCAGTTTACTCTTTACTTTCACTTTCACCAGCCCAAGCAAATTTAAATTCCACTTGAGATCCAGAGGTTGAAAACATTCTCCATTCAGTGTAATGCTGATGCTACCTGTGTTAGAGTGCCACATTTCTCAATCAAATGTTTTCTGGAGATAAAGGACAACCAGAATCCCTCTTCTTTTTACTGACATGACTTTTTTTTTTTTAACTCCTCCCTTAATCAAACTGAATCCCTCAGTTTGGCAATGGTTCTTAAATTGGTTCTGTTTGATTCCCTCCCTATAGCTTAGTGTTTGGAACAATGAAGATTTCTTTAAGACTGGTTTCTCTACAAATTTATATTCTCCTTTCTAAGTCACAAAAATTCTCTAGCCCCTGAGCCAATTCAAAGATTCAGCTGCTTTATGTTTGCAGGATTGATTAAAATAGCAGAGATGCTGAAGGGATTTAACAAGGAATTGTTTAGTGATGTCCAGAAGCTATAGACAGAGAATAAAGGAACTTGGGCTGTTTATGACAGATGGCCTCGGATAATGCTGATATTGTCTATCATGGAAATAATATTTCTTCATAAATAATTCCAGTGGTCAGACTATTCAGAAAAGGGAAATATTAAGCAACAATAATCATAAAAACTCAACCCAGAGTGAATTCACATCTAAATAAATTATTTCTATAGAAAAAATACAAGGATATTTATGTCTTTCTGCAACTTGGGCTCTCTACTATAATAAAATTATCTACAGATGCCTCTTAATTATTTCTTTGGTCAAAATTTTGGGTTCAATATGCTATAAATATTTTTTCATTGTTGCTAGGCCTCCTAGTCTAAAAACGGGAAAAGGCCTGGGACACTCTATCAATACATTTCATTTTAACCAGGAATGCAACCATGAAAATCCACACACTAAAGAGGCAGGAAAAGGCATCTTTAACCATGAGAAAGAGCTAATTCTCAGTGGGGAAACAGCCAAGACAAATTTAGAGGGAAAGAAAGATGTCCTAAAGCAAAAGACCACATGAAAGGGTGCATGAAATACACAGCGAGGGAGCTATATTTAACGCTGTAAGGTTGAAGCAAAATTGAGAAATGAGTGTCCCTCAGAGGCTTATTAATTATGCTGAGAGCCCTTTATCAGGGGTGGCAGTTTGGACCACCCGCTCCCTGTCAGACACTGAAACCATCAGTCCTTGACAACTGTTAGATGATGGCCTCTGTCCATGTCACAGCAGATAGGATCAGGGGAGCAGCAAAGTCTGCATGGGTAAGAAGGAAGGATAGCTGCAAGAGCACTTTATTGTAATGACCTTTGCTATCTTTGTCCTGTGAGTAAATAGTCTTTATTCTCTAGGGACTGCAAGCTCTCACTATACCACTTAAGATTATTAATGTATGCATGCACTTAGGCATCTATGTATTTGCTTATTTATGCATGCATGCCTTCTTTTTTTACCCCTCCAGGTAGGCAAGGAAGAATGGAAAAGAACAGAGAATAGAAAGTAAAATGAACATAAAAATCCAACCCTAGTTCATGAGTAATACTGGGCTCCCTGTCAAAGCTTCATGAATTCAACATTTCTCTTCTTACTTTGGTCAAAAAATTAAGATGAAGACAATTTCATTGCTCCCAAAGTTGCAACAACATTCTCATTGAGCAGAAGAAATAAATATAATATTTCATCTTTAAATATGGTTATGGCTCTTTCCCTGCTTTTACAAAGATG